AGGGCAACTACTTACACCTGCCTTGAGAAGGACTTGGCTGCTGTTTCCCATTGCCAACATCTTACACATTGGATGGCCATCTCCTCATCCTCCTTAATGTCCTTCTCCACCTCTAAGGTGATGACATCCCTTTCCCTGGGGTGTCTGGCTGAGATGCACGTGCTGACACACACTGCAGGTGTCCAACACCAGCTGAGATCAGTCCTACCCTATGTGTCTCTCTGCCATTGCTCAACCCAACCTTCCCCTTCTTGCTTCCCCTCTTTCTCCAAATGTGGATAACGCAAAATTCTCTTTCTTGGGTTCAATTCTTTTTGACTTGATGCCACCAGCGAGTGCTCCACGTGCTTCATATCACAGATGAAGGTAAATCTGAGACTTTCCACCGTGAATTTGCAACATGGGAAATCCCAGTGAGAAACAAAGGGAAGAAGATAACACCATGAAGGTGATCAAACACCAAATTAGGGGTGAGGGAGGGTGTGAAACCTCCACCCCTGGTGGTCCCCAAGGCTCATCAGTGGGGTCAGAGTTGGCCCTGGTTGATATGGGTGGCTGTACTGGAGACCTCCCAGGTTCCCAGCTGATAAGAGAGGAACAGGAGCACAAACAGCCTGGGAGGACATTTGCCCTGGGCTGACAGGGGTAAGCCGGGCAGCCGACCCGTCAGCTGGATTAAATAATAACCAGGGAATTATCAGGAAGCTTTGGGAACAAAGCAGGATTCAGCTGATTGACCCTGTTAGTTGTGTGTCGTTAATAAATCAGCAAACCTCTTTGATCCTGGCTGGATTTAATCCAACTGTGCTGCTCCTCTCTCCAACCCAAGTCACTCCGTGTCTCTAGGGCAGCACTAAGGTGAAGCCATCGCTCCAGATTTCACCAGGGTCCTGACAGAGGCTGCAGTAAATACACAAACTGGAGTAGTTTTGCTTCTTTTTTTCATGTACACAACGTTTGTGCATCACCTGGCAGCTCTCCTTGCAGGAATGTGGCAGGAGAAACATCAGGGTGGGCAATGGCATCAATCCAGGCTGGCATGGGCTGCAAAGTATTGGGTCTGAAGAAGGCTACTGAGCAACACCATAGAATCATGGAATGGTTTGGGTTGGAAGGGACCTTAAAGCTCATCCAGTTCCAACCCCCCTGCCAGCAGCAGGGACACCTTCCACTAGACCAGGTTGCTCAAAGCCTCATCCAGCCTGGCCGAGAACACTTCCAGGGAGGAGCAGCCACAACTTCCTTGGGCAACCTGTTCCAGTGTCTGACCACCCTCACAGTGAAGAACTGAACTCCTCTGGTTAGGGTACCATGGAGATCGTTCGTGGCTTTTATTGCTGTCAACAAGGAGATGGAAAACAAAGGTATGGAGCAGTAGGTGGTGGTTCCTTGGTAGTATCTGCCCTTTGTGGGGGGATTCATCACTACCACATCTTAAAATGCTTTTAAAGTGCCTTCACTTCACTATCCTCCACTGTGAAGTAGAGGTCATCACCCAAATATTGTATTTCATTGGAATTTTTAATGAAAAATTAAAGGTCTAAAATCAAATCAAATGGATGATGCTGTTAATCATCTAATGAAGTTTGAGTATGAAAAAGAAACAAGTACTTCTTGCCTAGCACGCCAGTTATTTGCTGTCATCTCTATTGTTCTTGCTAAAGTTGTTGGTCTCCTGAGGTTGGTTATTACGACCCTTAATGACTTTACAAGGCTGTCTTGAGATGGCATTTTATTCAGTGGGACAGTAAAATCCACTCCCTGTTTATTCTGATTTGGAACACATGACACAGCTCATAATTGGAGTCCAGTCAACTGTACATTTTTTTGCCATGTTATTCTGGTTTAATTGAGCTTGATACATAGGACTGAAGAAATGGTAGAGGGCAACATCTTAAGCGAGGAGTAGTCCATGCTTCTAGTTCTCTCATTGTGTCTTCACTAGATTAAATTAACTACTAAAGATAATTATCAACATTTGGAGAACTGAGTGAAACTCTTAGTATCCTGAACCAGCTGAGAACATTGAATCAGCCAGTGCAGCTTCCAAGTCAAAGTGAAGATCCCCAAGGTGTTATCAATCTGAGATGTTTAATCCAAACCTGAGAATATCACCCTCATCTCCATTCTGTCTGGTGATAAATATACAATGTTCAAGCAATAAAATCATCTTCTTCTTATGAGTCTCCTCAAAGCCTCCTTCACCTCCTTATTCCTCAGGCTATAGATCAAAGGGTTCAGCATGGGAGTCACCACGGTGTAGAGCACCACAGACCATTTATCTTCTGTGATGCCATCTGAGCTGGGCTTTAGGTACGTAAAAATTGATGTCCCATAGAAGATGCTCACAGTGATGAGGTGGGAGGTACAGGTGGAGAAGGCTTTGCGCTTGCCCTCAGCTGAACTGATGCTCAGGATAGTGGAAATGATGGCCATGTAGGAGACCAGGACAACCAGGCTGCTGGACACACCGAATAAAGACGCTGAAGTTCTCAGGATAATTTGGCTGAGGGTTTTGTCAGAGGTTGAGAGTGAGATCAGAGAGGAAATGTCACAGAAGAACAGGTCAATTACACTGGAGCTGCAGAAGGATAAACTGGACAGGCTGATAGTCTGTCCCATGCCGTTTGCCAACCCCATGAGGTATGACCCAGTCACCAACTGGAAACAGCATCTTGGGGACATGACAAGGGAATACACCAGGGGATGGCAAACGGCCACGTAACGGTCATACGCCATCGTAGCCAGCAGGAAGCATTCAGTCATCCCAAAGAGATCAAAGATGAACACCTGAGCCACACACCCAGCGTAAGCAATGCCCTTCTTCCCTGACACAAAGTCAACCAACATCTTGGGGGTGATGATGGTGGAAGAACAGAGGTCTACAAAAGCCAGGTTACCCAAGAAATAATACATAGGGGATTGGAGCTGAGGGCTGGCCCTGATTAACATGATCATCCCAAGGTTCCCCAGGATGGTGATGAGATAAGTGAGCAGAAACATCACAAAGAGGGTGATCTGAGTCACCAGGTCCTCTGTGAACCCCGTTAAGATGAACTCAGTCACTTGGGTGCAGTTGCCTTCTGCCATTTAGTTGGACGTGTGCTTTCTGTGTGAATTTTTTGCTGGAGGTTTCTTCCACAACAGGCAGGTATCTCCCAGTTGGAAAACTCATTCTCCAGTGGGACCTGCTCAGAGACAAACATAGGAGAGCTAAAGGAAGAGTTGAGGCACAGATCAATTAGAAACAGCTCAAAGCCTTACCACAGTGTAGGTAAAACCAGCAGAGAGCTGCCAAAGCAAAGCTTTGCTCACGGCGCGGCGTGGTCCTCTGGCTCACTGCTGGATGTTCCTCAGTGACCTTCACACAAAGCTGGAGGGAGGTTACACACTCGAGTAGCTTTACCTTGGTGCTGCATTTCATCCCCATTGTTACTGTTCAGCCCAGGACTCTGAGATCATCCAGCTCGACCTGAAACACTGAGAAACACGGTGCTTTTTCAACACGGAGTTGATTGTTCATCCTCTCGTTGGCATTTGCCAACCACCCTCTTCCTCCCTCTTTGCTGGGACTTCTTCCCAACTATGAAACCTCACACAGAGGTTTATATTGATTTCTTTCCCTCCTCATACACTGTTTTAACTATAAAAATATTCCCTAGGTCTTTAGCCTCTTCCCAGTGTCTTCAAATGGACATAAGCCATCCCCAAAGCTGAGGAATCTCTCCTGGAAAATACTTGGAGGAGAAAAATAATCTGTTGGACCTGCCTTATCTCAGCAACAATGAGCTCCCTAAACATTCCTTACAGGAGAGCTTCTGGTTCTCATCCAGGAGCCCAGTGTGGTCAGTGGAGAGGGGAAGCCTCCTGAGCGTGCTCTCCAACAGGATGACCTCCAGACCTTCCTTCTCCCAGAAGTGGTGTGGGAAGGACACAGGGCAGCCAGCTCCTTGCTTTTGATAGAAAGTCCAGAGTATTCTGAAGAACTGAAGCCCAGGACCCCGCAGGTAGGACATGAGATGAAGATATGGAGCTGTTTCTTTCTTGCAAGAGAAAACTATGGGAGATGGGTGGCTCAGCACGCACTGTCCTTGCTTGGGAGTCTGGTACTGGAGCTTCAGCTTGGGCTGAAAGGTAGATGATGATCCTCGTTTACATCTCAGCACTATCCCTGCTTCCCTCCTGATGCTCTTGGAGATGAATGTGAAGATACATGTGCCTGAAGCTCTGCAGGGGAGCTTGGAAATAAACCACCGTCAGCAAACACCCTCACTATTCCACATAATTCAGGGATCTGGGGACTGAGGACCTCTTTGAGCCTCAGGAGAGTGCCAAAGCCCAAAGCAGGTCGTTATCTTCCTCTGCACTTCTTAGTTTGGAGAAGTGTACCCAGAGGAGATGACCTCAGCTTGAGTGAACAACTCTCTTCAGAGCAAACCACAGAACAACACTCCATTTTCATGTCCAGTTTTGGAACATGTCAGAGACATTTCAGCAGCTCCACAAGTGCCATGTTTGACATTATCATGCCAGGGAGATGAGGAGGACCTCACCAATGGGTTACAGTCCCACAGGGGTTGAATCAGGGCTGGTAACAAGGTCCACCACAGTCCCGGGCACCAGGTATGATGAACCACCTTTCTACCCATCTTAAATTCCTTGTTTGCAAACCATAGCTCACGAGTTTGGCTGCAAGGAGCCAATAGAAGATCATGGTGACCTTGCTAAAGTTGAGGTAAATGCCATCCATTGCTCTCCCCTTCATCCACACAGCCACCAACTCATCACCCAAGGCATTCAGGTTGGTCAAGCACAACCTGCCCATGGTACATACATGCTGGGTACTCATGGTCACCCTCCTGTCCTTCCTTTGCCTGGAGAGGGCTTCCAGGGGGATTTCCTTCCTCATCCTTGGTGATGACATTTACCTTCTTCCACCCATCCAGCTGGAAATGCACCAGCCAAAATGGCAAACGAGAGCCTGAGGGAGAGATGCCCAAAACTGGAAGGAAGGTGATGGGAAAGATCAGATAAGGAGCACAAAGAAGGACAGAAAGGGGCAGCAAGTGGGGAAAAGAACCTTTCTGAAGGGACAAAGGAAAGTGCTAGGGCTGGCCCCATCTCTGGTGGGTCTGATGGAGGTTCCCAAGACCAACAGGAGATGTGGTGAACCTCTTTCTACAGTCTTTTAACACCCAAGAAAGGTGAGGGTGAAGGGCAGCAGAAACTGCCATGGGTTGAGGTCAGACAATGGATTTTGCAGAGTGGGAAGTAGCCCTACCCCACACCCTTTGCTGAGCAGCAAATGGGGCAGCAGGATGGAACCTCCCAAACATGAACGGAAAGTACATGTCACATGGATTCCCACCAGCGTTTGGCCAGATCCAGGCTCTGTCTCTGCTCTTGGTGAGGAGAAACCACACAAAGCAGGGTTGGGTTAGACATCACCTTATTCAAAGCCAGGCTGGATGAGGCTTTGAGCAACCTGGTCTAGTGGAAGGTGTCCCTGCTGCTGGCAGGGGGGTTGGGACTGGATGAGCTTTAAGGTCCCTTCCAACCCAAACCATTCCACGATTCTATGATCACCTTGAACACCAAGAACTGGTGTTTTACAGACTCTGCCCTTCCCTGACAGCTGGCAGCAAACCCCCCACAACTGGGGCAGAATTTGGGGTTTAAAACCCTTCCAAAGCCACGTCCTCACCTTTTCTTTTCTGTCCAGCAGAAAAATCATCTGCAGAGTGGGGTGTGATCCTGCAGATGAGCCCTGGCAGGTCTGGTCCTGCCCGGGGCTGAGTCCCCTCCATCCTCCTCCTCGCTGTCACCACCGACTCTCACACCTCCTCATCTCCCCGCTCGATAGCGGCCCCGCGGCCACGGCCCGGTGACAGCGGGAGATGGATGGGGCTGAGCCAGCGCCGCGGGGTACGGGACACGTGTGGGGATGTGATGGACATGGGGGGGGCTTGGGGAGATGGTCCCTCCCTGGTTCACATCATTCCCAAAAGCCAGTGCTGCCCACGCAGCCCCCATGGCCACCCTGCAGCTGGAGGGTCTCCTCTCCGTTTCCATGGCCATGGGGAGGGTTTAAGCACCGACCCCAAAGCAGAAGCGAAGGCTGAGCCTGGTTTGGAGAAAACAGCCAGTTCTGTGCAAATCAGGGAGGGGTTTCAGCCCTCACCCAGTGCCACCATCACCGGGGGACACAAGAGCCACCAGCAGCCTTGTGAGGATGTCCCC